ATAATATGGCAAGAACAGCTCAAATAAGCAAAGAGAAATGACAGTCCATCATTACTTTAAGACATGAAGGTCAGTCAATCTGGAAAATTTCAATTACTTTGAAAGTTTCTTCAAGTGCAGTTGCAAAAAACATCAAACATTATGATGAAACTGGCTCTCATGAAGACCACCACAGGAATGGAAGACCCAGAGTTACCTCTGCTGCAGAGAATAAGTTCATTAGTGTTACCAGCCTCAGAAATTGCAGCCCAAATAAATGCTTCACAGAGTTCAAATAACAGACACATCTCAACATCAACTGTTCAGAGGAGACTGTGTGAATCAGGCCTTCATGGTCGAATTGCTGCAAAGAAACCACTATTAAAGGACACCAATAATAAGAAGAGACTTGCTTGGGCCAAGAAACACGAGCAATGGACATTAGACCGGTGGAAATTTGTCCTTTGGTCTGGAGTCCAAATTTGAGATTTTTGGTTCCAACCGCCGTGTCTTTGTGAGACGCGGTGTGGGTGAACGGATGATATCTGCATGTGTATTTCACACCGTAAAGCATGGAGGAGGAGGTGTTATGGTGTGGGGGTGCTTTGCTGGTGACACTGTCTGTGATTTATTTAGAATTCAAGGCACACTTAACCAGCATGGCTTCCACAGCATTCTGCAGCGATACGCCATCCCATCTGGTTTGGGCTTACATTTTACATTTTAGTCATTTAGCAGACGCAAAAAAAAACCTTGAATGATTAGGTGTCTCCAAACCTTTGACTGGTACTGTAAGTATTCAGACCCATTGCTATGTTTCCATTGATCATACTTGAGATTTGAGTTGATTGGAGTCTACCTGTGGTAAATTCAATTGATTGCACATGATTTGGAAAGGCACACACCTGTCTATATAAGGTCCCACAGTTGACAGTGCATGTCAGAGCAAAAACCAAGCAATGAGGTCGAAGGAATTGTCCTTAGACCTCCGAGACAGGATTGTGTCTAGGCACAGATCTGGGGAAGGGTACCAAACAAATTATTCAGCATTGAAGGTCCCCAAGAACACTATGGCCTCCATCATTCTAAAATGGAAGAAGTTAGGAACCACCAATATTCTTCCTAGAGCTCGCCGCCCGGCCAAACTGAGCAACCGGGGGAGAAGGGCCTTGGTCAGGGAGGTGACCAAGAACCAGATGGTCACTCTGACAGAGCTCCAGAGTTCCTCTGTGGAGATGGGAGAACCTTCCAGAAGGACAACCATCTCTGCAGCACTCCACCAATCAGGCCTTTATGGTACAGTGGCCAGATGGAAGCCACTCCTCAGTAAAAGGCACATGACAGCCCGCTTGGAGTTTGCCAAAAGGCACCTAAAGGACTCTCAGACCATGACAAACAAGATTATCCGGTCTGATGAAACCAAGATTGAACTCTTTGGCCTGAATTCCAAGCGTCACATCTGGAGGAAACCTGGCACCATCCCTACGGTGAAGCATGGTGGTGGCAGCATCATGCTGTGGGGATGTTTTTCAGCGGCAGGGACTGGGAGACTAGTCAGGATCGAGGGAAAGATTAACAAAACAATGTACAAAGATATCCTTGATGAAAACCTACTCCAGAGCGCTCAGGACCTCAGACTGGCGCAAAGTTTCACCTACCAACAGGACAACGACCCTAAGCACACAGCCAAGACAACGCAGGAGTGGCTTCGGGACAAGTCTCTGAATGTCCTTGAGTGGCCCAGCCAGAGCCCGGACTTGAACCCGATCTAACATCTCTGGAGAGACCTGAAAATAGCTGAGCAGCGACGCTCCCCATCCAACCTGACAGAGCTTGAGAAGATCTGCAGAGAAGAATGGGATAAACTCCCCAAATGCAGGTGTGCCAAGCTTGTAGCGTCATACCCAAGAACACTCAAGGCTATAATCGCTGCCAAAGGTACTTCAACAAAGTACTGAGTAAAGGGTCTGAATACTTATGTAAATGTAATATTTCAGGGTTTTTGCTTTGTCATTATCGGGTATCGTGTGTAGATTGACGAGAGGGAAAAAACAATTTAATCCATTTTAGAATAAGGCTGTAACATAACAAAATGTGGAAAAAGTCAAGGGGTCTGAATACTTTTTGAATGCACTGTATATACAAGGGGTACCAGTACTGAGTTGATGTGCAGGGGTACGAGATAGTTGAGGTAGATATGTACATATAACTAGGAATAAAGGGACAGATAATAAACAGTAGCAGCAGCGTATGTGATGAGTCAAAAAGGTGAGTTCAAAAAGGGTCAATGCAGATAGTAGCTATTCAATCCCTCTTTGAATGTCAAATAAAAACGTATTTACAAAGTAAACAAACATTTCAACAGGTTACATTTAATGTAGACTTTGAATGAAATACAAGCCTGATTAACATAAGAGATCACTTCATTTGTCAATTGCACACAAGGTCCAACCGAAATTTGACTTCCGCTTTTAACCCAACCCCCCCCGAAAGACACACATACACATCCATTATAACAGTTAAACAGTGTATCTAGACTGCTAAGATATCTATATTTGCTAGACTTTTGCGAAAATGTTACGGTTGTGCAGGTGGTGGAAGGAAGGAAGGAAGGAAGGAAGGAAGGAAGGAAGGAAGGAAGGAAGGAGGAAGGAAGGAAGGAAGGAAGGAAGGAAGGAAGGAAGGAAGGAAGGAAGGAAGGAAGGAAGGAAGGAAGGAAGGAAGGAAGGAAGGAAGGAAGGAAGGGAAGGAAGGAAGGAAGGAAGGAAGGAAGGAAGGAAGGAAGGAAGGGAAGGAAGGAAGGAAGGAAGGAAGGAAGGAAGGAAGGAAGGAAGGAAGGAACTACTGGTCTTTGACCCAATCCAATACAGCCTATTGACTGACTATGGCATGGGGGTGGGGTTGGCTGAGGGGAGAAAGAGCAGAGCAAAAACAACCACCTAACCTGCTCTCCCAAATTAGGGTGGGGTCTGGAGGAGGGGTTGTGAGGGGGGAGGGGTTGCTTGAGAGGTGAGGGTTTGAACTGAAGGATGAGGGGCTAGGGAGGGTTGTTTGCTTGTTTGATTGTCGGTCACATAGGGGGGGTTTGAACTAGTGATTCCGAATTTAGAAAGTGAATCCTTGCCACATAGAGAGTGTGGAGGGGTTGGGAGGGGGTGGGGGTTGGTTAGGGGTGAGGGGTGATGGGGGGGGGGGTGGATTGACGGGGTGAGGGTTTGATTGAGGGGTGAGGGGTTTGACTGAGGGGTGAGGGGTTTGACTGAGGGGTGAGGGGTTGATGAGGTGTGAGGGTTGATTGGGGTGAGGGGTTTATTGAGGGGTGAGGGTTTGATTGAGGGGTGAGGGGTTTGATTGAGGGGTGAGGGGTTTGACTGAGGGGTGAGGGGTTTGACTGAGGGGTGAGGGGTTTGATTGAGGGGTGAGGGGTTTGACTACTACTGTGGAACAGGGATACCCTTCCAATTAATGATTTAATTGTGCAGTTGACTACTTACACCGTTTCCCATCTGTTGAGCCTGTATCTGTCTGTTGAGCCTGTATCTGTCTCACAATGACACATTTTCACTTGTGTCCACCCACACTGCAGATCAGTCAGCGATACAATGGTAGAATTAGACTTGTCCCATTTGGAATGATGCCATGACATCTACACTACGATGCACACACACAGACACACACAGACACACACAGACACACACAGACACACACTGACACACACTGCGACCCTCCACCCTGCAGCTATCCAGGGTCACCAGGCAGGGTTGTTGTTTGTGTCACTGTCATTGCAGATCCATCAGAAACGGGGACACACAGTGAACAGGGCTCAGGGCAGGGACTGTAAAATGGTACAGGGCTCTGCCACTGTGTTTTTGCCACAGCAGCGGATCTCAAAATATACTGTTTATATCTGGCAGGATAACCCCACAGGCAGGGCAGCATCTGATGGCGAATGACTCATGTTGTTGGTACCAGGAGAAGATACTGTGTTTAGGTCTCTGTTTGGTTTGGTACTGTAGTGTGAGGCTGGTGCACACACACACGTAAGCATTTCACTTGAAACACACACAAAACACATGTTGGTATATAGGCTGCTACATTATCACATGTTGGTATATAGGCTGCTACATTATCACATGTTGGTATATAGGCTGCTACATTATCACATGTTGGTATATAGGCTGCTACATTATCACATGTTGGTATATAGGCTGCTACATTATCACATGTTGGTATATAGTCTGCTACATTATCACATGTTGGTATATTGGCTGCTACATTATCACATGTTGGTATATAGTCTGCTACATTATCACATGTTGGTATATAGGCTGCTACATTATCACGTTGGTATATAGGCTGCTACATTATCACGTTGGTATATAGGCTGCTACATTATCACATGTTGGTATATTGGCTGCTACATTATCACGTTGGTATATAGGCTGCTACATTATCACATTGGTATATAGGCTGCTACATTATCACATGTTGGTATATAGGCTGCTACATTATCACATGTTGGTATATAGGCTGCTACATTATCACATGTTGGTATATTGGCTGCTACATTATCACATGTTGGTATATAGGCTGCTACATTATCACATGTTGGTATATAGGCTGCCACATTATCACATGTTGGTATATAGGCTGCTACATTATCACGTTGGTATATAGGCTGCTACATTATCACATGTTGGTATATAGGCTGCTACATTATTAATTCTGTACACCTCCTGTATCTAATGTGTGCATAACATCACATCACATCATTGGGTTTTGCCAAGTAGAGGTTAGATCAGCTGAGGGACAACAGTCACATGTCTAAATACAGAAACTATGGGGGAGATGTATTTTTTCCCTCCTACACATGTAAAGATAGGCGAAGCAGGAGGCGGGACCATAACATAGCATCTGATTGGCCGGTTATGCGTCACCAGTTCAACTCCATAAGAGGATGAATGATCTCTTAAAGGGGACATGCAGTATACAATATGGATTCACCAAAACAAACCTCGAAAATGAATATCTTTGACAGGTTGACTGGTGAATGACTCATAGTGGATCAACAACAGGGTTACTAGTGAATGACTCATAGTGGATCAACAACAGGGTTACTAGTGAATGACTCATAGTGGATCAACAACAGGGTTACTAGTGAATGACTCATAGTGGATCAACAACAGGGTTACTAGTGAATGACTCATAGTGGATCAACAACAGGGTTACCAGTGAATGACTCATAGTGGATCAACAACATAAAAGTTTGTATAATAATACAACTATAGTTATTGTACCAACACACATTTTGTATAGTTTAAAAATAACAATGATAGCTATAGTTTACCATATTTTGATGTAACACGAAATTGTTATTCTGGTGGCATACAGGGCTTAGTGCAATTAAATCAATGCCTTCAAGGGATAATTTTGCAACAGTAATATCAAATGAAATAAATCACGAAATAGCATTTTTTATAGGCATGGGTTTTGCACGATGGCAAGGCAGAACAAACAAATGGTGTACTGTCACTTTAAGAGAATGTATAAACATGTACGTCATGAATATCTGGTAAGGGGTGGGGCCAGATCCTTGTCTGGGCGGACCAATTTGTCACTGGCGCTTGAGAGAGAAAAAAAAAAACTCATCCAGAAACAGCAAACATTCATTTTAGAGTCTGTAATGCAAACGGTTGAAGGATACACAGCTCTGTTCAATTCTGGAGAATCAGTAACACCAAGTTGACAAGATACCACCCATCACAACGGAAGTAACTTACTTAACTGGCGGTGAGTCCTGCTTGTGATTCAGTTTGTATGGTAATTAATAGAGAAATGAAATGGTGTAGATTTTGGCTGAAGTTGTCAGTGTGCAGCCGGGTCGCCCAGTTTGTAAACAAATGCGGTGAACATGCCCTGGCATCGCGCTGTTGTGATGGAGTGTCTGTCAACCACTTTCCGTTTCCAGTTTCCAGTTTGGCTAAAGTGGGCGCAAACAAGGACGAACTTTAAACTTAGTGCATTAATTAATGTATTTTTGAATACATGAACATTAGCCTATTTAGTGGGGAATTAATTGCGCCGAGTGACTTTAAAGAGTATGGAAGTGTGTATCGGTTGTTTTGGGGGCAGTCAGCCTCTAAGTTAGAGCGTTGGGCCAGTAACTGCTGGTTCGAATCCCCGAGCCGACAAGGTGAAAAACATCTGTCGCTGTGCCCTTGAGCAAGGCACTTAACCCCAACTGCTCCAGGGGCGCTGGACAATGGTGACCCTGGCCGTGACCCCACTCCCTGCGGGTGTCTCAGTCAGGGGCTTGGGATATGCAAGAAACGCATTTCCATCACACACTTCTACAAGTGTGTAACAGGACAAATATTATTGTATTATTATTTATATTCTTGTTTTGTTTCCTCACACACAACTGTGGTTTAGAAAATCAGCTTTTCGTTGACAGGTTGTGCTGTTGTTCACATTCAGGATTGATTTAGATATGTCTTTGAATGGACAGGCTATTTTAATGTACCGATGGCTGCACCTCCCCAAATTGAACCTGCCAAAAAGAGAGTTGAGCCTTCCACTAGCACGACTGATATGACACCTTTTCATAATGTTCTTCAAACATGGTTCTTGTTAGGGATAGGCCTACGTTTTCATATAGGCTACTTCATAAACGTTTTTTTTTTTAAATAGCCTACTGCTAGCATTTTGGTGTAATTTCATCCATTTTTTACAGTGAGATTGGGTCGAGTCCGTGCTCAGCTATGTGGGCAGCCAGCGCCACACACCGGCAGCAGGTGGAATGATTTCGCCGCACTGGACTAGTCTGCTTGGCACGCGCTTCTGTTTTTATTGCAGCAGTTGCAACGCTCGGATTGCGTTATCTATGTGATTTCATCAAGAAAAAAAAGTATAATCAAATGAAGGACACTTTCCTCACAATTAACCATTGCTCTGCGCTTTCAAGAGTCCTCTGGCACTGTCATTCACTGTTTTCGCTCCGACACTCAAAAGATAAATCAGTAGGTAATTTACATGCTTATCACAAATCAGTGTCATTTTATGACAGATTTTCCGTTTGCGCCACACAGTAGCATAAACGACTTGTCTTGTTTACGTAGAGAGTTATGCTCCGCTCTCGAGCTGCCTGCCTGCCACGCGCACCTCAACAGATAAATGTGGGCTAATTGCGTTCCTCGAGACCCACCCTGCGCCGCGTGCTCCCGAAGTCACCCCGATTTTTTTAGGATGAATTAGAATTTAAGAAACCCATTTAGAAAACCAATTTAGGTTCCATTGTATTTAACATTCAATTAGTAGACATTATAGCCGACTTTATATAAAGCTAGTTTTATGGTAATTATATTTAGACTTGGGCTATGCCAATGATGACTCCTACTGAATTCTCCGGTAGCCTGTCACAGGAGCAGGTGCCCGGGTATAGAGCTCACCTTGTGCCCTTACCTTCTGGCAGTAGAGAGAGATAGCTAGACGTGCAACAGAGAGGTGGAAGACAGACAGAGAGAGAGAGGTGGAAGAGAGCCTAGTGCACAGATGGAGCCTCAGAGGGAGGGATCTCTCCGCTGTCTCCGCTGCAGCCTCAGCCCCCTGTGACCACGCGGCAGAGTTTGGCAGGCCTGCCGAGTGCCCCAGGCAGGTTGTGTGTCAGCCTTCTACTCACTGCCAGCGTGATTTCAAGGCACACTTTACTTACTAGTAGCTGTTATATAATGTAGGCTGTGGTGTTTAATACTTACTAGTAACTGTTATATATAATGTAGGCTATGGTGTTTAATACTTACTAGTAACTGTTATATCATGTAGGCTATGGTGTTTAATACTTACTAGTAACTGTTATATAATGTAGGCTATGGTGTTTAATACTTACTAGTAACTGTTATATCATGTAGGCTATGGTGTTTAATACTTACTAGTAACTGTTATATAATGTAGGCTATGGTGTTTAATACTTACTAGTAGCTGTTGTATCATGTAGGCTATGGTGTTTACTATTACTAGTAACTGTTATATCATGTAGGCTATGGTGTTTAATACTTACTAGTAGCTGTTATATAATGTAGGCTATGGTCGTGGTATCTGAATTACACTTACTGTAGCATACAATAGGAAAGTGGGTAGTAGTGCCACAACATTGCGGTAACTTTGCGCCTCCATCCTGCCAAAGAAAACGATGCAGGTGATTACAGTACATTATGACCTCATTCAACATTATTTTCCCTGTCACCTCGCTGTGCTCGACACAATAACCACAAGATCCAGTTTCAGCTCTGGGATTTGCAAGTCAATCCCTCTCTCGTTTGTCACACCCAACAACAGGAAAAGAGACGTACTGTTTTTTTTTTTAAAGCTTCAATATGTAACTTTTTGGGTGACCCGAACTAAATCACATAGAAATGTAAGTTAGATCTGTCGTTGTCGTTGAAAGCAAGTCTAAGAAGCGGTAGATCTGTTCTACGTGCGCTATTTTTACACTTCCCGTTCTTAAATTTAGTTTCTGTGTCTTTTACTTTCAGTTTTGTACACCAGCTTCAAACAGCTGAAAATACAATATTTTGGGTTATGGAAAATATTTTTCACAGCGGTTTAGATGGTACAATGATTCTCTACACTATACCTTCTTATTTTGTCACATAAACTGAAGTTAGTTCATGTGCATCTTGAAGTAAACATGGCAGCTCATAACCTGACATGATGCCCATGTACAGAGAGAGACAGACTGTGTGTGTGTGTGTGTGTGTGTGTGTGTGTGTGTGTGTGTGCAGTGAAAGTTGTTTGTTTTACTTCCCGCTCCATGAAACTAGCTAGTAGCTTATGTGAGGTAGGCACGTGGAGTTTCAGCAGGGACTGTGGTTTCACCCTGGGAAGGGAGCGTTAGTTAACATGCTGCTTTATACCTGTCAGAGGACAGCGGTTGAGAGAGAGAGAGAGAGAGAGGGAAAGAGGGAGGGAGAAAGAGCGAGGAAGAGAGAGAGGGAGGGGAAGAGGGAGGGAGGGAGGGAGGGGGCATGGGAAGAGGGAGAGAGGGGGTCTCTGAGAGCTTTAGCTAAAGTGTGCAGGCAGGGGAATATAGTCCTCTGAGTTGTCTGTGCTCTCGGTGTGTGTGTTCTGTGCTGCACTCGGTGTATGTGTGTGTGTCCTCGATGTGTTTGTCCGTGCTGTGCTCTGGTTGACACAGTGAGGCAAATGAAGGTGGTTCTGGTGAGAAGAGACTCCAGGGCCAGATCTGTTAGCCCTCTGTTATTGATGCTGCCTCCTGACACTGATGACGAAGAGCATTTGGGGGCAGCAACATAAATACTCCTGTCTCTCTCCTCTCTCCTGTAGGGAGACGACCTCTGAGGCTCCTAATGGATGATGAAGAGGAGGACATGTCTCTTCAGCGTCGTCCTGTCTCCCAGTGCTGGGGCACCCCCTTCAGGGACATCAAGTTCCACGACAGAGACGGCAGGGACAGAGGAGACACCCAGGACAGGTCTACACAGACGTCGACTGGACCCAACGCCATTGTCCCACGGTCAGAGGGACACAACATCATGGCACCACAAGGCCACAACAACAACAACACCCTTCCCTGTGGGGTGCAAGACAATCACCAGGCCAGAATACTGTTCCATGGTAAGAAAGGGCAAAGAGGAACCCATTTTAAAATACTATTGGATGTGTGTTTGAATCAGCTTTCCAATTTGTGGACTGTTCCATTGGTTCCATTTGACCAGACAAACTAAATCCGACACAGCTGAACTATATGAAAGGGTTAGCCATGTGTAGCTATTTGACTCAGGGCTGACCAGATCACAGCTACAGTACTAGTGGGGTGTGACTTAGGGGTTTTCCACTAGACCGAGGCACGGACTGTTTCGCAATTCAAAATGGAGATATTGCGCGACATCCAGGGATTCTACCTCACTGTCACGGCAGTGTCGCTAATCATCTCACCACCTTTTACATATTTCATACACACGCTGTCCCACAGGAGAAAACACAGACACGCTGTCCTACAGGAGAAAACACAGACACGCTGTCCTACAGGAGAAAACACAGACACGCTGTCCCACAGGAGAAAACACAGACACGCTGTCCCACAGGAGAAAACACAGACACGCTGTCCCACAGGAGAAAACACAGACACGCTGTCCCACAGGAGAAAACACAGACACGCTGTCCCACAGGAGAAAACACAGACACGCTGTCCTACAGGAGAAAACACAGACACGCTGTCCTACAGGAGAAAACACAGACACGCTGTCCTACAGGAGAAAACACAGACACGCTGTCCCACAGGAGAAAACACAGACACGCTGTCCCACAGGAGAAAACACAGACACGCTGTCCCACAGGAGAAAACACAGACAAGCTGTCCCACAGGAGAAAACACAGACAAGCTGTCCCACAGGAGAAAACACAGACACGCTGTCCCACAGGAGAAAGCACAGACACGCTGTCCCACAGGAGAAAACACAGACACGCTGTCCTACAGGAGAAAACACAGACACGCTGTCCTATAGGAGAAAACACAGACACGCTGTCCTACAGGAGAAAACACAGACACGCTGTCCTACAGGAGAAAGCACAGACACGCTGTCCTATAGGAGAAAACACAGACATTCTAATTCCAATTCTCTTCCATGCTTTTCTATGGGGGAAATTTGGAAATGGAATCTGGGTAGCACTTTATAATAAGTCTACGTAATAAAGCATTTAAAATGGATTAGTATATACTTTATTCATCATTTATTAATCATTAATCCATTTATAATATGTTTAATACAGGTCATTGTAAACCATTTACTAATCATTTGTTAAGTCTTTTTGCTTGGCCTCATCTAAAGTGTGGCCTATTTATACTTTATAAATAATGTATAAATGTTTTGAGTGACCAGTGTAATTTCTCACCAAAAGATGGACATGCCATTGGTGGACATTCCAGCAGCACCTGATGATCCTTAAGGTCTCAGAATGGCCCCTAGAACATATCAATGGTTAGACAATAAGCCCGCAACAGAAGATGTTAATGGAAATATATCTTATGAGTGGAGTAATGATTAATAAATTATGAAATAAACTATTTACTAATCCATTATAAATGCTTTATGGGTAGTTAGTATAAAGTGCTGCCCAAATTCCAATTCCAAATGTATTTGTAACTAGAATGTCAGTTGACTTCCTGAATTGAAAAGTAATTGACCCCTCTCCATTACTTGAATACTCGGTAGCTTGTAGAGTTCCTAGTTGTTTCTTGCACAGATTTTTATTTTTCGTCTGTCTGTCCCTCCCACCTATCTGTAGACAGAGGAACAGACAGACAGACAGATGTCTGTAGGGTTATGTGAAGATATTTGTTTTCCTAACTGCATGGCATGTAGTGCGTGGCAGTGGCTTAAATAAACACTCTGCCGTGCCACAGCCCAGCACAGCTAGGGTCATCAAAGGTTATTGTTGAGTTCACTTAGGGTGAGTCCCAAATGGTCCCCTTTTTTTATAGTGAAATACTGTTTACCAGGGCCCCTTCTGGTGCAATTTGCGACGCACATATTCTGCTCTACCGGCTACCGACGACACGCTCATATACAGTGGGGAAAAAAAGTATTTAGTCAGCCACCAATTGTGCAAGTTCTCCCACTTAAAAAGATGAGAGAGGCCTGTAATTTTCATCATAGGTACACGTCAAATATGACAGACAAATTGAGAGAAAAAAATCCTGAAAATCACATTGTAGGATTTGTAATGAATTTATTTGCAAATTATGGTGGAAAATAAGTATTTGGTCACCTACAAACAAGCAAGATTTCTGGCTCTCACAGACCTGTAACAACTTCTTTAAGAGGCTCCTCTGTCCTCCACTCGTTACCTGTATTAATGGCACCTGTTTGAACTTGTTATCAGTATAAAAGACACCTGTCCACAACCTCAAACAGTCACACTCCAAACTCCACTATGGCCAAGACCAAAGAGCTGTCAAAGGACACCAGAAACAAAATTGTAGACCTGCACCAGGCTGGGAAGACTGAATCTGCAATAGGTAAGCAGCTTGGTTTGAAGAAATCAAATGTGGGAGCAATTATTAGGAAATGGAAGACATACAAGACCACTGATAATCTCCCTAGTTCTGGGGCTCCACGCAAGATCTCACCCGTGGGGTCAAAATGATCACAAGAACGGTGAGCAAAAATCCCAGAACCACACGGGGGGACCTAGTGAATGACCTGCAAAGAGCTGGGACCAAAGTAACAAAGCCTACCATCAGTAACACACTACGCCGCCAGGGACTCAAATCCTGCAGTGCCAGACGTGTCCCCCTGCTTAAGCCAGTACATGTCCAGGCCCGTCTGAAGTTTGCTAGAGTGCATTTGGATGATCCAGAAGAGGATTGGGAGAATGTCATATGGTCAGATGAAACCAAAATATAACTTTTTGGTAAAAACTCAACTCGTCGTGTTTGGAGGACAAAGAATGCTGAGTTGCATCCAAAGAACACCATACCTACTGTGAAGCATGGGGGTGGAAACATCATGCTTTGGGGCTGTTTTTCTGCAAAGGGACCAGGACGACTGATCCGTGTAAAGGAAAGAATGAATGGGGCCATGTATTGTGAGATTTTGAGTGAAAACCTCCTTCCATCAGCAAGGGCATTGAAGATGAAACGTGGCTGGGTCTTTCAGCATGACAATGACCCCAAACACACCGCCCGGGCAATGAAGGAGTGGCTTCGTAAGAAGCATTTCAAGGTCCTGGAGTGGCCTAGCCAGTCTCCAGATCTCAACCCCATAGAAAATCTTTGGAGGGAGTTGAAAGTCTGTGTTGCCCAGTGACAGCCCCAAAACATCACTGCTCTAGAGGAGATCTGCATGGAGGAATGGGCCAAAATACTAGCAACAGTGTGTGAAAACCTTGTGAAGACTTACAGAAAACGTTTGACCTGTGTCATTGCCAACAAAGGGTATATAACAAAGTATTGAGAAACTTTTGTTATTGACCAAATACTTATTTTCCACTATAATTTGCAAATAAATTCATTAAAAATCCTACAATGTGATTTTCTGGATTTTTTTTCTCATTTTGTCTGTCATAGTTGACGTGTACCTATGATGAAAATTACAGGCCTCTCTCATCTTTTTAAGTGGGAGAACTTGCACAATTGGTGGCTGACTAAATACTTTTTTTCCTCACTGTAGAGGGAGTTACTAGTTTATTTTACAGGATCATTTGACCGTAAGAAACCCATTTGATTTGAAAGCCATATCTGATAGAACCAGTTTAGTGTTACTGACAACGATACAGGTACAGCAGCGGCACGCTAAAGTAAACACTGTTGAGTCAGCTTGCCCGGCCGGTCTTGGTGACAGACAAAAGGAGTGCTGTGTCTCTGTGTCTGAGACATAAAACACAACCACCAGTAAATCTAGAAAGTTTAGCTGCTTGTGTCATTAGACCAGAGTGTTAAAAAAATAAAAAAATAAAATATTCCGCTTCACAGGATCAGGTAAAGGGAAGGAGGTCGCTCAACCCCCCCCTCTCTCTTAAAATTGTTTTTTAAAACTGCAAAAGAGCATGGATTTCTGCACTTGGGTCAAGCAAAAATCTCATGTATTGATGGTGAATCAGAGGCTAAATCTATTTACATTTACATTTACGTCATTTAGCAGACGCTCTTATCCAGAGCGACTTACAGGAGCATTTAGGGTTAAGTGCCTTGCTTAAGGGCACATCGACAGATTTTTCACCTAGTCGGCTCGGGGATTAGAACCAGCGACCTTTCGGTTACTGGCACAACGCTCTTACCCACTAAGCTACCTGCCGCCCTAATCTATGACACTGAACAAAATCCATTTTCTTCCCACAGGCAACGCTGGATTCCACTTGCACTTCCCAGCTTGGTTCAAGCCCCTGGACGACCGGGGAGAGAGGCAGAACGGGGAGGGAAGAAGGGAGGAGGAGGAGGAGGAGGAGGAGGGGGAGGAGGAGGAGAATGGAGGAGAGACCAGAGGAAGAGCGGGCGGAGGATAGCGCGGAGGCGAGGATCGGACGTAAGCTCCGGGAGATCGGAGACCAGTTCCACCAGGACCATGTTCAACTGGTAAGGGTCAAAGGTTAACTAACTGGTAAGGGGTCAAAGGTTAACTAACTGTGTGTGTCTGTGTTCAACTGGTAAGGGGTCAAAGGTTAACCAACTGGTAAGGGGTCAAAGGTTAACTAACTGGTAAGGGGTCAAAGGTTAACTACAGTGGGGGGAAAAAGTATTTAGTCAGCCACCAATTGTGCAAGTTCTCCCACTTAAAAAGATGAGAGAGGCCTGTAATTTTCATCATAGGTACACGTAAACTATGACAGACAAATTGAGATTTTTTTTTCCAGAAAATCACATTGTAGGATTTTTTATGAATTTATTTGCAAATTATGGTGGAAAATAAGTATTTGGTCACCTACAAACAAGCAAGATTTCTGGCTCTCACAGACCTGTAACTTCTTCTTTAAGAGGCTCCTCTGTCCTCCACTCGTTACCTGTATTAATGGCACCTGTTTGAACTTGTTATCAGTATAAAAGACACCTGTCCACAACCTCAAACAGTCACACTCCAAACTCCACTATGGCCAAGACCAAAGAGCTGTCAAAGGACACCAGAAACAAAATTGTAGACCTGCACCAGGCTGGGAAGACTGAATCTGCAATAGGTAAGCAGCTTGGTTTGAAGAAATCAACTGTGGGAGCAATTATTAGGAAATGGAAGACATACAAGACCACTGATAATCTCCCTCGATCTGGGGCTCCACGCAAGATCTCACGCCGTGGGGTCACAATGATCACAAGAACGGTGAGCAAAAATCCCAGAACCACACGGGGGGACCTAGTGAATGACCTGCAAAGAGCTGGGACCAAAGTAACAAAGCCTACCATCAGTAACACACTACGCCGCCAGGGACTCAAATCCTGCAGTGCCAGACGTGTCCCCCTGCTTAAGCCAGTACATGTCCAGGCCCGTCTGAAGTTTGCTAGAGTGCATTTGGATGATCCAGAAGAGGATTGGGAGAATGTCATATGGTCAGATGAAACCAAAATATAACTTTTTGGTAAAAACTCAACTCGTCGTGTTTGGAGGACAAAGAATGCTGAGTTGCATCCAAAGAACACCATACCTACTGTGAAGCATGGGGGTGGAAACATAATGCTTTGGGGCTGTTTTTCTGCAAAGGGACCAGGACGACTGATCCGTGTAAAGGAAAGAATGAATGGGGCCATGTATTGTGAGATTTTGAGTGAAAACCTCCTTCCATCAGCAAGGGCATTGAAGATGAAACGTGGCTGGGTCTTTCAGCATGACAATGACCCCAAACACACCGCCCGGGCAATGAAGGAGTGGCTTCGTAAGAAGCATTTCAAGGTCCTGGAGTGGCCTAGCCAGTCTCCAGATCTCAACCCCATAGAAAATCTTTGGAGGGAGTTGAAAGTCCGTGTTGCCCAGCGACAGCCCCAAAACATCACTGCTCTAGAGGAGATCTGCATGGAGGAATGGGCCAAAATACCAGCAACAGTGTGTGAAAACTGTTTGACCTGTGTCATTGCCAACAAAGGGTATATAACAAAGTATTGAGAAACTTTTGTTATTGACCAAATACTTCTTTTCCACCATAATTTGCAAATAAATTCATAAAAAATCCTACAATGTGATTTTCTGGATTTTTTTTCCTAATTTTGTCTGTCATAGTTGACGTGTACCTATGATGAAAATTACAGGCCTCTCTCATCCTTTTAAGTGGGAGAACTTGCACAATTGGTGGCTGACTAAATACTTTTTTTCCCCACTGTAACTGTATGGTGTGTGTGTGTGTGTGTGTGGCTACGAGCTAGGGCCACCCACTGCCAGACTCCTGTGTCTTGTGGCTCTTCACTGTGAAAAGAAAAGGACCCAACATTTTGCCAGCTGGGGTAGTCACAAATATGCCTGCTAAAAATAGAGCTCTGTCACTGATTCAACCACATTCTGGGATAGAACCATTCAAAATAACCATTTTCCCCCAACCCAACCACAAATTACCAACCAGATATGCTAGAGGGTGGTGCCAGGTCACCCGAGTCCATAAAGTATTATTTACAGTGAAAAGGAGGTTGGTTCTTAGTTTAAAACTGCACTTCTAAAATATAATCCTACCATATTGTCTGCTAAATGACTCAAACGTAAATGTAAATCTACTGACTTTCTAGTCAAGTATTTTAGCATCTCAATCTGGCTGTCGAGGTATGGACTGGGTCGTTCAGAAAGCACCTGGAGCCAGCTCCCCGTAGAGAAGCGATAGAATATCTACTCTTCTGTCTCCGACCCTGTCTCCTCCTCGGGCTTTTGTCTCACTCCTTTCCGGTCACTTAAAAGCAAAAGGATGGAAGAATAATAGAGAGAAGTTGAGTCGTCGTTGTTGAGTTGTGTTATACATATCAGTTAGCATAGATGTGGTGAAGTTGAGTCGTCGTTGTTGAGTTGTGTTATACATATCAGTTAGCATAGATGTGGTGAAGTTGAGTCGTTGTTGTTGAGTTGTGTTATACATATCAGTTAGCGTAGATGTGGTGAAGTTGAGTCGTTGTTGTTGAGTTGTGTTATACATATCAGTTAGCATAGATGTGGTGAAGTTGAGTCGTCGTTGTTGAGTTGTGTTATACATATCAGTTAGCATAGATGTGGTGAAGTTGAGTCGTCGTCGTTGAGTTGTGTTATACATATCAGTTATATATAAATAGAACATCATCATGTTTTGGTCACGGAGAAAAAAAGCACATGGCTAACTAGTTGGCTACAGCAGGTTCTACCGTTTCACAATAGCCTCTCTAGTTATTACTTCTAAACAAAATACGTTTTTGGGTGGATTCTTGTTGTGTGGTTTACTGTTTGAACAGTCGCTGATATTACATCTGGTTATCAATGCAAAATAGGCTACTTTGATGAATAGCCTAAAGATCAGATCAAGGAACCAAGCGACAACACTGCCCCCACGGCTGCGGAAGGAATGATACGGCTCATCTCAATTTTCAGGTAGTACAAACGTACGTTGAATGCCGGAGTTTATAGTTTTAAAAAATGACATTGCAACACTGCGCTACGCTCCGAATCTTGCGTCTCTGTAGAGCTTGTAGTAAGCTTAAGTGTTAGTCCATGAGATGGAGAGCGACAAACAGACAGACAGACAGACAGTGACAGACAGACAGTGACAGACAGAGAGAGAGACAGTCAGATGGTAACACAGAGAGAGAGACAGTAACAGACAGACAGAGAGACAAACAGATGGTAACACAGAGAGAGAGACAGTAACAGACAGACAGAGAGACAGACAGATGGTAACACAGAGAGAGACAGTAACAGACAGACAGATAGAGACAGACAGATGGTAACACAGAGAGAGAGACAGTAACAGACAGACAGAGAGACAGACAGATGGTAACACAGAGAGCGAGACAGTAACAGACAGACAGAGAGACAGACAGATGGTAACACAGAGAGCGAGACAGTAACAGACAGACAGAGAGACAGACAGATGGTAACACAGAGAGAGAGACAGTAACAGACAGACAGAGAGACAGACAGATGGTAACACAGAGAGCGAGACAGTAACAGACAGACAGAGAGACAGACAGATGGTAACACAGAGAGAGAGACAGTAACAGACAGACAGAGAGACAGACAGATGGTAACACAGAGAGAGAGACAGTAACAGACAGACAGAGAGACAGACAGATGGTAACACAGAGAGAGAGACAGTAACAGACAGACAGAGAGACAGACAGATGGTAACACAGAGAGAGAGACAGTAACAGACAGACAGAGAGACAGACAGATGGTAACACAGAGAGAGAGACAGTAACAGACAGACAGAGAGACAGACAGATGGTAACACAGAGAGAGAGACAGTAACAGACAGACAGAGAGACAGACAGATGGTAACACAGAGAGCGAGACCGTAACAGACAGACAGAGAGACAGACAGATGGTAACACAGAGAGAGAGACAGTAACAGACAGACAGAGAGACAGACAGATGGTAACACAGAGAGAGAGACAGTAACAGACAGACAGAGAGACAGACAGATGGTAACACAGAGAGAGAGACAGTAACAGACAGACAGAGAGACAGGCAGATGGTAACACAGAGAGAGAGACAGTAACAGACAGACAGAGAGATGGTAACACAGAGAGCGAGATGAGGTCAGAGTGAGACGTGTGGGTTGGCTGGGCCAGCTGTTTATATGCCTGTCTAAAAATAGAACCGTGACTTACTCAACACAGACACAACCGGTAACGCAACGACTACCCACAATACTTCACTCACTCGCTCGCTCACCCCACTGACTGGCTCAATGTCTGTATGTGTGTGTGTGTGTGCGTGTATGACAGAGAGAGATACAGTAAGAGCTATGTGTGTGTGTGTGTGTGTGTGTGTGTGTGTGTGTGTGTGTGTGTGTGTGTGTGTGTGTGTGTGTGTGTGTGTGTGTGTATGACAGTAAGAGCTATTGTGTTTTTATCTAATAGCGACAGGAGAGAGAAAGTTTGTTGTTTTTATCGTGAATGATCTGAGAATATTGTCAACAAAACCTGTCAAAGTAGTGTTCAAACAAAACAACATATGCTGCTCAAGTCTGTTTGTATTAGTTCTACCTACCTACCTACCTACCTACCAGATCTACCTACCTATCAGATCTACCTATCAGATCTACCTATCAGATCTACCTATCAGATCTACCTACCAGATCTACCTACCTATCAGATCTACCTATCAGATCTACCTATCTATCTATCAGATCTAGCTATCAGATCTACCTACCTACCAGATCTACCTACCTATCAGATCTACCTATCAGATCTACCTACCAGATCTATCTATCTCAGATGTATCTGTCAGATCTATCTATCTATCTCCCACGGGGGACCAGTATATACAAAAATAATAATTATGCACTCATTAACTGTAAGTCGCTCTGGATAAGAGCATCTGCTAAATGACTAAAATGTAAATGTATCTGTCAGATGAAGCACTTTAGGATTGTTCCTGTCAGTCCAAAATCCCTGTCATACAACATGTCCAATGTCTGCTCTGGGATCCATCCCTTTTCTTGGATTCTGGACACTTTTTAAGTCATATTAAAAGACAGAAATCAAAAGACTCAGCTAAATATATACTGAACAAAAATATAAATGCAACATGTAAAGTGTTGGGCCCATGTTTCATGAGCTGAAATAAAAGATCCCAGAAATGTTCCATACTCACAAAGTTTATTTATTTCAATTGACTGATTTCCTTACATGTACTGCAACTCAGAAAAAATCTTTGAAATTGTTGCATGTTGCGTTTTATATTTTCTTTCAGTTGCGATGTTAAAAAGTCAATGATATCAAAAGGTCATTGGAATGAAGGGCCTAAAGAAAATTAGAACAAAATATGTTGTACCTTGATGCCAGGGTAGCTTGAGATGCCAGGGTAGTTAGATGCCAGGGTAGTTAGATGCCAGGGTAGCTTGAGATGCCAGGGTAGTTAGATGCCAGGGTAGTTAGATGCCAGGGTAGTTAAATGCCACGGTAGTTAGATGCCAGGGTGGTTAGATGCCAGGGTAGTTAGATGCCAGGGTAGCTTGAGATGCAAGGGTAGCTTGAGATGCCAGGGTGGTTAGATGCCAGGGTAGTTAGATGCCAGGGTAGTTAGATGCCAGGGTAGTTAGATGCCAGGGTAGTTAGATGCCAGGGTAGTTAGATGCCAGGGTAGTTAAATGCCACGGTAGTTAGATGCCAGGGTGGTTAGATGCCAGGGTGGTTAGATGCCGAGGTAGTTAGATGCCACGGTAGTTAGATGCCACGGTAGTTAGATGCCAGGGTGGTTAGATGCCGAGGTAGTTAGATGCCAGGGTAGTTAGATGCCAGGGTAGTTAGATGCCAGGGTAGTTAGATGCCAGGGTAGTTAAATGCCACGGTAGTTAGATGCCACGGTAGTTAGATGCCAGGGTGGTTAGATGCCAGGGTAGTTAGATGCCGGGGTAGTTAGATGCCAGGGTAGTTAGGTGCCAGGGTGGTTAGATGCCAGGGTGGTTAGATGCCAGGGTGGTTAGATGCCGAGGTAGTTAGATGCCAGGGTGGTTAGATGCCAGGGTGGTTAGATGCCAGGGTAGTTAGATGCCACGGTAGTTAGATGCAGGGGTAGTTAGATGCCGGGGTAGTTAGATGCAAGGGTAGCTTAAGAAAAACGTTAAAAGTCAGTCTTTTCCACTACCCACAGTGAAGTGCACAGAGAGAATCCCGAAACATACCATGCCAGGGTAGGACTGCTGTTTGAAGTAATATTCTTTAAATGGTCCCTGCAGCATAACATTAAGACAATTAAGCTCAATTAGGGGGGTGTTTAGTGGCGCTGGTTTAACTCGGTTCAGTCTGCTCTGCTCTGCTAGGGCTGCATCAAATAGTCTGGGAGAGGGAGAGACTGCCTTGCTCTGGCTGGGAGAGACCTGCCTACTGCTCTGTAGAGAGAGGGAGAGAGGGGGAGGCAGAGAGAGAGAGAGGGAGAAATAGGGAATCTAGAGATACAGTTAAAGAGAGGGTTGGGGATAAAGAGAACGAGAGAGATTGAAACTGGCAGATGCTTACCCAACCTGTTGCAATACCCAGACCAGCTCTTCAGTCAGAAAGCTTATGAGAGGAGAGGAGAGGAGAGGAGAGGAGAGGAGAGGAGAGGAGAGGAGAGGAGAGGAGAGGAGAGGAGAGGAGAGGAGAGGAGAGGAGAGGAGAGGAGAGGAGAGGAGAGGAGAGGAGAGGAGAGGAGAGGAGAGAGCAGCTGCTATACACCCCAAATAGAAAGTGACAGATCTAGGAGGAGGAGGAGGGCATCAGAGGGTTTCTTGTCTGGAGCAGCAGTGCCTTGCCTTGTTATGATCATTAGTCAGTTAACGTGTATATTACTGATACTGCCTGGGGGGGGGGGGGGGCAGGGCAGCAATATGAGAAGTGATGAAATATGGGGAGCTTCTCCCAAAGTCTTTCTCTGTCTCAGCCTCAGAGAGGTAGTTTATTTACATTTACGTCATTTAGCAGACGCTCTTATCCAGAGCGACTTACAAATTGGTGCATTCAACTTATGATAGCAAGTGGGACTCTGCATGACTCTTCCTAACCTGGAGGAGTGGCTGTATTGTCTTGCTCTTAGCCAGCACACATGCCCTATTTGGTAAAAGACCAAGTCCATATTATGGCAAGAACAGCTCAAATAAGCAAAGAGAAACAACAGTCCATCATTACTTTAAGACATGTTTGGTCAGTCAATCCGGAAAATTTCAAGTGCAGTCGCAAAAACCATCAAGCGCTATGATGAAACTGGCTCTCATGAGGACCGCCACAGGAATGGATGGCCCAGAGTTACCGGCCTCAGAAATTGCAGCCCAAATAAATGCTTCACAGAGTTCAAGTAACAGACACATCTCAACATCAACTGTTCAGAGGAGACTGTGTGAATCAGGCCTTCATGGTCGAATTGGTGCAAAGAAACCACTACTAAAGGACACCAATAATAAGAAGAGACTTGCTTGGACCAAGAAACACGAGCAATGGACATTAGACCGGTGGAAATGTGTCCTTTGGTCTGCAGTCCAAATTTGAGATTTTTGGTTCCAACCGCCGTGTCTTTGTGAGACGCGGTGTGGCTGAACGGATGATCTCTGCATGTGTGGTTCCCACCGTAAAGCATGGAGGAGGAAGTGTTATGTTGTGGGGGTGCATTGCTGGTGACACTGTCTGTGATTTATTTAGAATTCAAGGCACACTTAACCAGCATGGCTACCACAGCATTCTCCAGCGATATGCCATCCCATCTGGGTTGGGCTTAGTGGGACTATCATTTGTTTTTCAACAGGACAATGACCCAACACACCTCCAGGCTGTGTAAGGGCTATTTGACCAAGTAGCAGAGCGATGGAGTGCAGCATCAGATGACCTCCACAATCCCCCGACCTCAACCAAATTGAGATGGTTTGGGATGAGTCGGACCGCAGAGTGAAGGAAAAGCAGCCAATAAGTGCTCAGCATATGTGGGAACTCCTTCAAGACTGTTGGAAAAGCATTCCAGGTGAAGCTGGTTGAGAGAATGCCAAGAGTGTGCAAAGCTGTCATCAAGGCAAAGGGTGGCTATTTGAAGAATCTCAAATATAAAATATATTTTGATTTGTTTAACACTTTTTTTGATTCAAAATGTGTTATTTCATAGTTTTGATGTCTTCACTATTATTCTACAATGTAGAAAATAGTAAAAATAAAGAAAAACCCTTGAATGAGTAGGTGTTCTGTAAAAAATGTTGACCGGTAGCTAGCTCATAGTTGTGAAGTAAAACGTTTTGCTTTGTGTATATCTTGTTTCATCTGTTGTTGCCGTTGTCCCGGCTGGAAAAGGTTCAGTGAATGGGGAGGTGAAGCCTGACGTAATACAGTAAGGGGGAGTGCGAGTGCTTCTCAAATGTATTGTTTTATTCATTCTCCACACTCTCGTCCTCCACAAGAACGTACTCAAGAGAACGTGGTCGGAGTATGCACTTGGAGCATGAGAATATGGAGCACGGTAGTATGCATATTGAGAAACACCCAGAGTGTAACTTATTGTTTCCAGTAATTTGTTGCTGATGGTAACTACAGTAGCAGTGACAGTGATGATGGTTATGGCGGTGGACGAGTTACTGCAAGGCACTTTGGGCTATTTGTTGCTGTAAAAATGGCTATTGAACACATTTCTACTGATTTGATTGATTAATACTAATATCCCTCCCTCTCTCTTCTCTTCCTCACAGTTCCTGCGGCATCAGAGGGATGTCCTACCAGTCTGGATGCGTCTGACCATGGCCCTCTACGGCTTCCTGTTTAACAGAGAGGCCCCCGCCGTACCCCACCTGAGAGGACAGGAGAGATGAGGGGGGGGGGGGGGGGGGTTACCCCCTAAAACCCTCCACCCACCTCGGGTGTCTCCTCTCGCCTCCTCCCGTCCCCGAAAACAAGGGACCAGACTTGTAGATGGCACTGTATGATGGAACACGGGTTTGGATTCCTTTTTTTTTTAATCAGACGAAGAAGAAGAGAAGGATAGTCACTGCTGGACGGAGAATCACGTTCCTTCTCTCTGTCTCTCTCTCTCTCTCTCTTCTCCTCTTTCTTTATGATGAAGAAGAAGCCATGCTGTTTGAAGATATAAATATTTTCTAAAATATATAAAACTATTTAGTACAGTAGATAGCATCTTTTTGGTTTGGTTTGAAAACACACCAAAAGGAAATGGTCTTGTGAAGGTATTGTGGACATGGAAGGTCGCGATGTTCTTGTGAAAGTCTTGTGGACTTGGAAGGTCTTAAGAAATTCTACTCACCCACCCACAATGATGTTAACAACAAGCACATTTCAGAATTGTATTTTCTGAAGAAAACAAACTCCATGTAACTAAATATTTTCACTGTTTCCACACCGATCTATATATGAAAATGGTTGTCATAAAGATTCTGTGGTGGTGTTTTCAAGACAAGCGCGGTCTTAATACATGTCTTGCAGATCTCCGGGGGTAGATTGAGAGATATTGTCTTATCCTGTGTCTTTTGATGATGCCATCCCACCAGCAGTTTGTCTGAAGTGGTTTTAAGATTTAAGATTCAGTCTGAATGAGATGAATGCCAGATCCATTTTTATCAACAGGATAAATGTATACTTGAATGTATGTGTACTTAAAGATCCTAAGACTTAGGTCTGCAATGCATTCAATCAAGCAACCTGACTTTGATTTGAAGTTCAGTGTGAGTAGGCATCTAGTGTCGTGAAACCAAAATCAAATCGCAAGCACAAATTTCTCTGTCGGAGTTGAGGACTTACTCCTGTGGAAAAGCTTTTTGATAAACCCATCTTTATTTATCTGGCTGGATTGACAATCACAACCAACAGACCGACCAACAGACCGACCAACAGACCCGGTGATTTGATACATCAAGTTCTGTCTGTTGTTGCACTATGGGTCTGCTGTGAAAAAGGCAAATAAAAGTTGTTGTACAATCAACGATTGGAGCAATAGACTAACCAGTGGAGAGGCACTAAACCTTAGGGATCTATTGCAGTTACAATCAACTTGGCATTCATGGAAGAACAGCACTCTAACAAGGCAATCAATCAATCAATCAATCGTTCAAATGAAGTTCATCTTCACATTTGACATAGATTAAATAGATTAAATAGATTTGACCTTTGACCTTTTACTCTACATCACTATCTTAGTGTGAATCACTTTGGCTTCAACTCCCATACACAGATACAATTGCAATGTATTCAAACATGAGTAAATCCACAATAGATTTACTGATATCTCAGCAGCAACAGTTATAGTGAGTCCGGGCTCCCGAGTGGCGCAGCGGTCTAAGGCACTGCATCTCAGTGCTCGAGGCGTCACTACAGACCCCCCTGGGTTCGATTCCAGGCTGTATCACAATCCGGCCGTGATTGGGAGTCCCATAGGTGCGGCGCACAATTGGTCCAGCGTCGTCTGGGTTTGGCCGGTGTAGGCCGTCATTGTAAATAAGAATTTGTTCTTAACTGACTTGCCTAGTTAAATAAAGGTTAAAATATAAATAAACATTGTTAACTGCACCATTTCTCCACCTATGGCCTAGAACCTGTGTAGGTAATGGTGACGGCGTTTCGATAATGCAGCATTTTCTAAATTAAAACGAACGACCACTGCTTTTCAAACTTGAGTTTTATTTCACAGAGTTCTTATTACAAGTTATTTTATTTGAGTACATTTAAAAGTGGTTTTAACTTTTTAAAAGGTGATGTTTTTAACAGAAAACAGGATTTTTAATCTAATGTAAAAAAAAAAAAAAAAAAGATACAAAATAATTACGATATGAATATATTTGATGAAGACACTGATGGGTTTCTCGTTTGTTTAGTTTTTTTAAATATATATTCTTCGGGGAGTAGTTGTTCAGTCAAATGCCCATCATACTGAGTGTTTTCATTCTACTTTTTAACATGATGAAAATATTCAAATTGCTCAAAAGAACAAGCTTTGCATGTGTTGCACTGCTAAATATAGAACCGCATGACATCATCTGATCAACAGGCTTCTTTCTGTTCATATATGGGCGGTATCCCAAATGCCACCCTATTCCCTATATAGTGCACTACTTTTGATCAGCTTAGGTCAGAAGCAGTGCACTATTTAGTGGATAAGGATGCCATTTGGGACTCAATCATGTTCTTTGATGGTTATCAGTGACATCATAGACAGATGGTTAGAAATGTCAGATTTGACCACAGACACTGTTCTGTTTTTGACAGCAAGTTGACAAGATAGATAGACACAGACCAGGGACAGAGAAAGTTGAGAAAGGGAGAGAAGTCTCTTTGAAAGCATGTAGTGCCGAATTAGTTGAGCCTAAAGTTTGTATTCTGAAAACCACTGAATGCTGAGCCAGTCGAAGTAGCCATATCTCTCTCTCTAAAGTCTCTACGTCTTCTAAGAGCTAGATATATATTCTGTCTAGAGAGACAAAGAAGTATCTTAGATGGATGTAGTATATCGTATGCTATCAGTCATATAATATTCATAAACTATATATGAAGTCGTTTAGAGTAGATATATCAGGAGTATCTCTCCTCTATATCTTATCTATCTGCTCTCTCTCAAGAGTCTCTCTATCTAGCTCGCTCTTCTCTCACCCAAGTCTCTCTCTCCTCTTCACAGGATCCTCTCTTCTCTATCTCTCTCTCTCTCTCTCTCTATCTCTCTCTCTCATCTATCAGCCGTCTCATCTCTCTCTCTCTCTCTCTCTCTCTCTCTCTCTCTCTCTCTCTCTCTCTCTCTCTCTCTCTCTCTCTCTCTCTCGCTCTCTCTTTTCTGTTCAACTCCTCACTCAATCACCAACTACTCCCTGGACTTTCTAGAAATTGATTTTTTTTTTTTTTTTTTTTTACATTTCTTTTTAGAAGTAATTTATTCTAATTTATTTGGTGTATATTCACTCAGTGCTACTGTATAGCTATCCGGATGTGGACAGTTTCTACTCCTAGTTGATGGAACAGTCAGTCAGGAACAGTACTGTGTCTACGTCCAAAATGGCACCCTATTCCCTATATAGTGCACTACTTTAGACCAGAGAATGGCACCCTATTCCCTATATAGTGCACTACTTTAGACCAGAGAATGGCACCCTATTCCCTATATAGTGCACTACTTTAGACCAGAGAATGGCACCCTATTCCCTATATAGTGCACTACTTTAGACCAGAGAATGGCACCCTATTCCCTATATAGTGCACTACTTTAGACCAGAGAATGGCACCCTATTCCCTATATAGTGCACTACTTTAGACCAGGGCACATGTAGAAATAGGGTGCTATTTGGGCCTGTGGGTTGAGAGGACAGACGGACTAATGTGTCTCCTCTTACTAAGCTGTGTATGGGTCTTCAGGAATCACACCAACGAACAGACAATCAAATGTACTAAATGTGCCTTGTGAGCATTAGACCAGCCACACCAACCATCATCCATCACAACCATCTGGCCATGGTTATCTAAAGATGGCGGCCACAGCTCTCCTAGTTCAGTCTGAGCATGGTTATCTAAAGATGGCCTGGGTCCATAGGGAATAGGGTACCATTTGGGACAGAACCATATCCACCCTCTAGGGCACATGCCTAATCTATGACCTTTAACCCTGACCCCTCTCAACCCTGACCCCCTCTCAACACACACAGTCCCAGCTCATCACCCTAAAACTCAAATATCCAAACGACTGTTGACAATCAACATGCACTGGAAAGTAATGTTGTTGTTTTTTAAATCTTTTTTTATTTTAATTTTTTATGCACCTCTCTTTATACTCCTGTATGAACCCTATCCTCCTCTCTAGATTAATATGTCTTTAAGATCTGTTGGATACTGGGTTGGCCTAGCTCGACAAGACTATTCATATATCTTTAAGATCTGTTGGATACTGGGTTGGCCTAGCTCGACAAGACTATTCATATGTCTTTAAGATCTGTTGGATACTGTGTTGGCCTAGCTCGACAAGACTATTCATATGTCTTTAAGATCTGTTGGATACTGGGTTGGCCTAGCTCGACAAGACTAGCTTCTCTGTGCTTTATCTTCATTCTAGGGATTGTGTCCCAAATGGCACCCTATTCCTTATATAGTGCACTACTTTTGACCAGGACCCATATGGCTCCCATAGGGTTCTGGTCAAAAGTAAATGCACTAGATAGGGAATAAGGTGCCATTTGGGACACAGCCTAGTAGGGATGTAGGCTGAGGGTACAAGGAGGAGTGAGTCACCACGGTGTCCAGTATTATTTGTAAGGAGGAGGGGGTTGTGTGGTCATCTTATGGGTTGGTGTTGACGTCAAACCCATAGCAACCAACCATTGTCTCAACCCCCCCTTCGAGGTTAAAACTTATATTATATGTTCAACCTTCAGTATCTTGAATATCAAGTCAAATTTTTTCATTTGGTTTTTTATTAAATTTCCCAAGAAAGAGTGAATCTTAACTGTTAAGTGCTGTGCTAATTTGTGTTTTTATATCAACAAACAAAACAATTCGCTGCAGCTAATTAACTTCAAACTTTATAAGCAAAAAAAAGCTTTTGTATACTTTTGTAAAAAAACAAAAACAAATGTAACAATGAAGTCTGAAAACATGATTTTTTAAGATCGCTTTTTACATGTTGTGACATGCTTTCTGGTTTTTACCAATTAAGTCCGCTGGGTCTTTCTCAGTTCAAGGGCTGTTTAGATATTTGATCATTCTGTATATGGAGTAAAAATGCATGTCCCAGCATTCCTGAAATCTGTATCTTAAGGGGTTTGAATGTAAATTAATTGAGAGGAAAAAAAACAATGTCTCTTTTTTAAAATACTATATGAACTGA